TATCGACTTGCCCCATTCGGTCTTCGTTGCAACACAGTCGATGGACACAGCTGTTACAACATTTAAGTTGTTTTGTTAACGGGAACACGCGTGTGTATAAACAGTAGAGAACAACATCATTTTGTTTATCTTCGGGTGCAAACAATCGTTTTTTTACTAACCAGTTAACTGTGTATGTGCACAAATTAGCAACAAGTGTGACATCATATGTACAATGTCATGGTGAGAATATCACAGAGACTGTGTACAGAAGTATTACTCTTATAAATGGAAGTACAGTTTACAGTTTCTTGTCAATTCTGCAGAAGCTGCAAATCGAGTCAGTGATGTTGCGAGCTCCATCAATGAACATGTGCGACAACATGAAAACTTTCAGAAGATGTTGTCTATACAGAATAGTCTAACAGGAGATGGTGCCCCAAAAATACTGGCACCGGGTAGAAGGTTTATTAGAGAAGGCATTCTACTGAAGGTAAGATGGTAATTTTGAATACTGGGACTGGATAGAACGCCACTTATTCAACACTACTATATAATTGTGACAATTTTTCTGTATTTTTTTTTGCTTCTTTTTTGTAGGTTTCTAAAAAAAGTTCCAAGACCAATGAGAGGATGTTGTTTTTGTTCAACGATATGCTAATATGTGCCAAGTCCAACTTACTGGAGAATTCTGAATGCAATAAGACTTACAATTGTCGTTGTATTTTACCGTTATTGAAAAGTGAATTACAGATAGTTTTGGGTGAATCCCAGACCAGTAGTGGTATTTTATTTAAGGTATGACTTAAATTACATTTTGAATATAAAACAATTAAAAAAAAAAATATTTCTCCATTTTTATTGAAATATTGTTGATTGGATTATCACATTGTGTGTTTACAGGTGGCTGGTCCGGATAAATGCTTATTATTATTTGAGCCAAACCAGGGAGTCGGTATGCAATGGATTAATGAGATCCAGAACGCTATCACATCTATGAAACGAGATAGAGCTTCACTCAGGAAAGAAAGCAGTGCTAGGAGAAATAGTCGCACACCAAGGCGGCGTAAATTGCTTGCTTCAAGAAGACCATTGGGGAAAAGATCAGATTTTGAGGTACGTGTTGTATGAAGTCGATTTTTTTCTTCCCTAACATTCATCATCTAATGCACAGCGTCTCTTTCCCTTGATTTTTGTTGTGCTTTTTGTTCTGTTGTTTTTTGCCTGATAACACTTTACATAAATGACAGCATTACTTTGTGTTTTATTCAAACTTCCATTACTTTTGACGAGTTGAAAATTGTAAACTTGTTCAGTTACCTTGTATCATTCAATTAGATTTGCTGGTGTGAAGTATCCCCCATCAATTAGAGTAGTTACAGTGAAATGTGAATTTTTAGTTAAACTGTCTCCTTACTAATTCATTCCAGCATTGAATTGGGTCTTGTCATGTCTATATGCTGGTTTTATTAGTTCTCTTCGAGCATTGTCTGAAAAAGGAACTTATGTTTTGGGTTCTGTGTGTCTGACATCACCTTTTCATACATGCCTAAACTGATTTCCTTTGAAAATTTGTTTTTTAAAGGCTAGTCATAATGGACACATATTCACACACATTGATTAGTGGTTTGTTTTTTTCTCATTGACTGGCTAATGGCCATTTGAATATCAAAAAAAGAACAAAAATTACCATTTTATCAACGGCTTCTCAGGCATGCCTCACCTAATTAGTCCCCGTTCGGACGAAGTCCGAAAACGAGGACTTATAATT